CTAATCATTAAATATTTATATTTATTCATTGAAGTGTACGGCTTTAAGTTTTTCCACTTGCCAAAACTACAGGCTTAAAAAATTGTTTGTTAAAAAAATATTTTGTGCAATTTAGACCTCCCAGGTTAATATGTGCCTTTTTTCAAATAGACTAGGTTTAGAAAGAATGAAGTTCTTTATATATTTGGGGTAAACACGGTGGAAAGCTTGAGTCCCTGCTCTCAATCTGGGCAGTGTAACTTTAAAGCTGTCATCAAATTAAATCTTTCTTTCTTTTTTCTTCCTTTCTTTCTTTTTTAAAGAATTACCATGGCAAGAGCACTTTGAACACAGCAGGGTTTTCTTCTTCACAAACTCCCAATCCAGTAGATGATGAGTCATGGGATTAAAACTAAAACAGCCTTCAAGTTTGTGGTACAGTTTTGATGCAGAGAAGAAAACAGTTTTGAGTTTTGGTTTTTCAACAGAAGTGTGAAACCCCGACACTTGTGCATCTTCTGTCTTTCTGTTCTTACTCCCAGCATTAAAAAAGAAAAAATCCTTACTGACTAGTTTTATGTGAAATGCTAAAGTTACAACATTGCAGTTACTGATACAAATGATGTTAACTGGAAAGATTAAAGCATTCTAAATTTAGTCTTGTTTATTTCTACTGTTTTCTTCAGGGGCTTTAGACATGTTTCATGTCTAAATGCTAAATCTTAGTATAGTGTTTATTGATCCTGTAACACGCAATAAGATATATGATACACTTTCGGATAAAAATTATTGGTTCTCATTTTTACTTAAAAGGAGGCTTTAAAGCAATAGTGTGTCACTGAAATATTAGAACATAATTTTCATGAAGCAAACAGTAAAAGACATAAGCCTCTTAAGGTGATTTTGACTTTAGATGATCGGATATGTGATAAGTATGGTTAAATGTTTGCAATGTGAGCTCTGTACTCAATGACATAACAAATGTTTGTTTTTAAAATATATCGACTTTCCTTGAAAATAAAGGATGAAACACTTTCCCCTTTTAATTTTTCTTTGTTACATATCATACTTCTCAACTCCTATATTTTGAAATTTAGTTTTATGGAGTCTTACGAAACCAATGAAGTGAACAAGTCTTATATAAATATTAATCTGTGAAACATTAATAATACACAGATGTAATGATGAAAATCATTCTTTGAACTCAAAAGTATATCAACAAACAACAATGTTGTTTACACTTGCCATAATTAATTTTTTGATATTTTAAGATTGAGGGAAAGAACCCTTTTTTTTCATTTACCAATATGTATTTTAAACTTACTGTGTCTATAATGTAAGAAATTCTTAATAAATCATTAAATGAACCAAAACATTAAGACATAAAACAAGTGAAGTATAAATATTAGGGTGACAAAAATGATCAGTTTTGAGAGTATGATATTGTTCACTTAAAAAAATCCAAAGTAACATGTCCTCAACATATATCTTGTTATAGGAATTTGGTTTATAAATGAGGCATCACTTGTGAAAAGAGAAGTATTCAACAGATATTGTTAGGATAACTAGATGCCTACTACATACCATATTCAAAATCAATTCCATATGTGTTATAAAAAATTTAAACTACAAAAAATAGAGTTAAATATTAAACCTTTGAATTGGGATGAGAGTTAACTGTAAGCTCAAAGGATAGAAATCATGACGGAAACAACATATTTGATCACAAAAGGATTATTTACTTATATAAAAAGTAAACAGCAGGCAAGGAAAAATATTACTGTGACTACAGTGGATTATCAACATGTAATTCTTTTTTTTAAAGATTTTATTGGGGAATTGGGGGAGGGGAACAGACAGGTAGACAAATTGCTGTTTTTGTTCTACAGTCTAGTTGTGAAGGACGTCGCTTCACTGCCCCATGTTGGTATTATTGTGCTCTTCCTGGGTGAGGCAATCAGTTGCCAGCCTCTGGATGGCCACTCACAGCGGCTCCTGGAAGCTCACACCAGCTGCCAGCCACTCACGCTGGCTGCCAGCCACTACATAGCTCATGGCAGCCCACTGCAGCAGGGGCTGCAGCCTAAACCGTCGCCAGTGACTCACAGCAGCCCAACTCGAGGTCGAGCTGTTCATCATCATAGCTGTAGAGGGCGAGCGGCACTGGCCCTCAATGTGGGATCTGAACTGCAGCTCTGCTGCTCAGAGCTGGCACTCTCAAGCAAGCTCTTTTTTTTAAAAAGATTTTTGTTGGGGAATTGGGGGAGGGGAACAGACAAGTTGCTGTCCTTTTGTTCTTCAGTCTAGTTGTGGAGGATGTTGCTTCACTGGCCCAAGCTGGCACCATCATTG